ACTTACGACGTAAATCCATTAACACTCTTAACACTGCGTCATAGTATCGACAGAAACATGTACGTCCACTTGCATTAGTCCACGAGCTTCGACCGGACAGCTGAACTATTCCGTGACGAGAAGCTCCTGTCATCAACTTTGAGATTCTCCCACTCAATTTTGAAATTCTTCAAAGTGTAATCAGCGAAGAACTCATAATTCGCCTAACACATTACAAATCGTTACAACACCAGAGCGAGCGGAGCATTTACTATCACTTCGCACATTTTCTGTGTTACTCGCTCATTCCGATTTATATTCAACGACTACATTAGTTTAACATACGTACCACTCGGAAACGCATAGTTTCACCCAAGTGATGTGAAAAGCATATTCCACGACTACTGTATATCACCACGAGTATCGCGTTTTTCACCAAGTTTTACGCCACTTCACGTAAAACGGGTTGTGAAACTCCATTCAACTTATGAAAATCAAGGAAATACACATTGCAATTCACGCTAAACAGTTCATTTACGAGTCGCACTACACCGCTGAGCAATGTTTGTAATATGTGTAAAAATACTAATTACGTGAAACATGTACATGGTCAACTACATGTGGCAGTGACAATATGAAAATTCTGAGGAAATTTTGAAAAATTCTTCTTAGTTTCTTTACACTTCTACCCGAATTCGTATATGTTGAGTAAACTCCTGAGCTCAGCTGAGGGAGGCAAACATATACCCTAATACTACATACAATAGGCTTACTCGGAGGTTCACTCTCAGACTGACGCTGAAACTGTCCCTAGATGTAAAAAAAGTTTACATACAAAAAATACTCTTAGATTTACAAATTCTGGTACAGTGCGCCCCATCTAGAAACGCGCGAACTGGGCGGGCACTTTTTTCTTTTATTTTCGCGAATTTCAAAATAATTCTTTCACCGTTGAGCTCCCCATGCTTGATCACTCATAAATCCAAGTCGCGAACTTGAAACTCGACAAAAAAATATTTTCGTCATTTTTACCTTCCCGACCGCAGCGCCTTCTCATTTGTACGAAAATCATGAAAATTTTTTCCAAATTTCCTCTAAAATTTTCCTATTTTTCCCACAGACACACAAAATTTCCCGCCCTACCTCCCGAACAAAATATGCTTTTCCCAGATCAGTTCCCGTTGGGGGTTCCCCTTCCATAGCTCTCAAACGCATCATCCGCATAAAGTCATTCGGTGTCATCAAACGCAAGTTGATATTACTCGGCAGCAGACCAAGGCGTTGAAATACTCTTCCGACGAAACCTGACAAGGACACGGTGGGAAAATATGAACATGGTCAACTGAGTGCGTGTCGGTGATAATATGGTAAAATTGTGAAACAATGTCGATGAATTCTTGTTGGTTTCTGTACATTTCTACTCCAATTCGTATGGATGAAAAAAATCAGCAGAATTTCTCAACAATTCCGTCAGAATTTTCATATTGTCACCAACATACGTCGTTGAACATGTACATTTTTCCCAAACTGCATCACCACAAATTCAATTTCAGAATAGTTACTATACTACGAAAATAACGCAATCTCGAGACTTCCAAGATCAACTACTATTGTTCATGTTGTGGACATTCTTACCATAACCATATCATATTACTCGAATCGAATTGCGAAGCGAGCGGAGCATATACCGCAACAACAGGCACTTTCGCGTTGTGCGTGCGTGCAGAATTATTCTGGCTCAACTATCAATACCGAGGTTTGCGCAAAAATCGATTATACGAACAGCTCGAAGAGATTATATGCACGAAAGCTTTTTTTGACGGAAAAATGTCCCACCCGGGGATCGAACCGAGGACATGTGCCAGGGCAGACCTTGGCGCACCTATTGACTGAATCAATCAATTGACAAGGACTAGACGAGCTCCGCCCTTTAGTTGTCGAGGATTCAGAAGTGACAAAAATACTATCTTCAAAGAACTACACTGGAGTTTCACCACCCTAGTGATATGGAAAAACATATTTCACGACTACTACAGGTCGCGAATATCGCGTTTTTCACCGAGTTTTACGACGCCACTTCACGTAAAACAGGTTGTGAAACTCCATTATATTACCTGCATCATGAGAAAGCGATCCTTTCATTAGCCCACAATCATCCTCAACACCGAGCTCCTGCAATTCCTTGACTGCTTTTTCCATACTTCCCTTCAAGGCTTCCTCTAACGCGGATTTTGCTCGGGGGTTTTCACTCAGATCAATGACCTAAGCAGCGTTGAAATTAATGTATTTAGTTATACAAATTTACACACAAATTCGTGTAAAAATGCACAAAAACAGCGAAAATTTCCTCAGAATTTCCATATTGTCACTAATTTGACATTTTTCCCATATCGTAAACATTATCATGCATCTCATTAGAAATAGTATAAAAAGTTTACATTTTTCCTACTTGCAAAATACAGTCAGGTTACCACATTTTCCTACACGAATCTAGAAGTGAATACTATTTTGGTAAAGAATAGGTACAACTACTGAAACTTCTTCACATTTCTGCTATTCGATTCAATTTCAAAATTCTCAACGTACTCTGTTTGGTGAACTGATATTGTTCCAGCTTGAAAAATCTGATAATATTGTAAAATGATGGAATACTAAACAGTTTGCTACTTGCAAATACATATTCCAACATCAACTGTGTTGATCCCAGTGAAAACCGACATATAAAAACTCTTGAGTTTCACAACCCTAGTGATGTGAAATACATATTTCACGACTAATGCATATCACGTTTTTCACCGAGTTTTACACCACTTCACGTAGAACGAGCTGTGAAACTCCAATGAACTAACATACTATAAACAGTATAAAAACGAAAAAGCATGAAAATACTAACTATTCATACTTGCAAATATCCAATATAAACAATACTAATAATATTATACAATCTTCAACCGACACCCTAGAACCACATTTCACGAATTCAATGCCAAACCCTATACCAACAAACTTTCAACTACTTCTTGCATTTCATTTAACATCTCCTTTAGGTCGTGACGTTTATGCGACTTTTCCAACTCTTTTGATATTTGTTTCACAACAGGATCGTCACCTAGCGAATCCGGTCCACCTCGACGGTGCCACATATCGTTCCAACGCTTAAATACGTCGCTATAGGGTAGCGCATTCTTCAACTGCTCTTCGCGGACTTCTCGTATCACCGCTGGAAGCTTTTCTCTAGTCTCATCCGAGCACTGTAGTTTCCTTACCGCAACATAACTAACTCTATAATCTGCTAATACTTCACCGTAAAGTTCCGCGCCTTCCGCGAAATTCACCAAACAATTTGCGCCTTTCCGACATACAATACCAATACGGTTCCAACCTTCACCAACAGCTCTACCCAGTAGGAGTGTTTTCAAATAGAACATCATCGCTTGAGGCCAATGCAGCGCTTCTGGGTCATAACATACCACGATGAGATCTCCGTCAGCAAGAGCAAGCTCCAGAAGGTAGTCAGTTTCCATTCCCCACGCTTTACCGTAAAACGGCGTATTTCCCGTAAAATTTTTTCGCTGTTTTACATAAAATCGCCTCCTTCGCCACACCACGCATTCCCATGCTATCAAATACAGCAAAAACGGCGAAGCGATGACAAACCGACGAACGCGTTTGTTGCGGAAAAAACTATAAGTTCCGAATCGCTGAGCACGGGACTCGACGGACTCCCGAGGACCCGCACGGTAGTAGTTGGAAGCCTCTGCGAAACGACGTGAGAAGAATCGCCGAAACATGACCAACTGTTGATGCAATACCGTAAAAACTACACTTTACACACAAAACTAATTGCAATAGGAAACAGGTTGTTATTGGAGTTTCACCACCCTAGTGATATGAAAAACACTAGTGAAAAACATATTTCACGACTACTGCATATCACCGCGAATATCGCGTTTTTCACCGAGTTTTACGACGGCACTTCACGTAAAACCAGTAAAACTATATTAATATTAATTATAACACACGAAACAAGCTTTGTTGACTACATACATTACATACAAACAACAATATTGATATTTATTATTTCACCTACATACATATATAACGTATTGACAACATTCGTAAAGTAGCACTTACAAGAGACTCTTCGCTGCGCACAGCGAAGATTTTAAGATTCCTTCAAGCAATGTGAATTAATACGTCCAATTGCAACACTTAACCAGCATGTGAGAATATGCACATGGTCAACTGCATGTGTGTTGGTGACAATATGAAAATTCTTCTTGGTTTCTGTACATTTCTACCCTAATTCGTAAGGCGAGGAAAGCAAGCATGCAATCTAACACTGTTTTCCTCTGACTTCGCTCGCTGAGCAGCAACGATCAACTATCTATCATCAACTGTGATCGAAGTCTTATTCACATTATTAAGCAAGGGCAATGACCAGTTCGTGTCTACTACTATTATTCGTATTGTCTACTGAGTGCATTCTTACCAACTTGATAGATATTTTGGAACCCGGAAAAAGGTGGAAATATATTTGAGTAATTCACTTTAAGAATTGCCAAAGGCTTCGATTTTATTGTTGTTATTACTGATAATCACAACAATTGCAATTATCACACCGACGTTCTAACATCGAAATTTCAATCCAAACCACGACTAATAACAACATATCATTGCAATCAGCTCTCACGTGATACCCCAGATTGACTTTGCATTGAAGAGTTATAACATTAGGCTCAGTAGAGGCACAAGGTTGGCATCATCAGATTCAGCCAAGCGTTCATAGAATATATAATAATCATCATCACCTATGTTATACTAACATCAAACATACAAATATACTTACATCAAGTCACACCTATGTTACTTTCTCCCACATACTAACAGTAGTTTGTTCGAGTGTTTTACGGCACCACTAAAGTAACAACGTACAAAGGTGGCTTCCTAACCACGAATACACTATACGCTACCTCTGGAAGGCCTTTTCAAGACGATCATAATCAACGTCTCAGCCGTGGCAAGGTAGCCCATCATCGATATCCTCACAACTATACTCCCAACTGCAATTTGACTACTATTATAGCTCAACACCAAAATCGATCAGAATGGCGAGCGAGATTTACGTCATAGTAGCGCGCGCCCAGGATGGTATCTTAAAAACAGAGAATACATTCTCAGATGATATTCACTGCTGCTCGCAAGATCGTAATAACACCGGGGTATTTGGGTATGACTTTTTGTGGATATAGCGCGTGTTTTTCCATAGGCAACTAGTAGGGTGAATTACAAAATCCAAAGAAGAACGACAAAATCCGAGGAGGTTTGTCGTTCGCTCTCAGCAGTTTCTGGTTGCTTTGATAACAGATTTCATGTGTATAACAGTTCGGGTTTCTGGTTGCCTTGTCGGGTTTCGGGTGTACCCTTCAACTTGTCTTCCTCGGATTTTGTATATCACCCGCAACTAGTATGAGCTTTAGATCAGGTGCGCACGAGTCGCCCTAAGGTGACCAAATCGACTTCGCGAACTTTCTTTAGTCGCTCTCGCCCGAGGATGGCCCACAACCTCGAAGACCATTTCGATCTTGCTGAATACATGATGAAGTGAACGACCACTACTACTAATGGGAGGTGATTTTGCACTTTTTTTATCAGAATGCACAACCCCATGTCGGAGTACCTATACTGGATAGCTGGCTTCGTTAGTGGTCTTCACGGAATTCTACCATTGCTTCACTCCAACTACTACTTCAGTGGTATGTTCTTGCCGAGAGATAACGGTAAGTTTCGGCATTTATTGCGAATTTTCCTTTTTTTCTATCAGATAATACTCAGTTGTGTGACGACTCCTGGTAGATTTAAGATTTAAGAAATATTCTGGCAAACACAGAAGCGATCAGCTCCTGTCCGTGGATCGTCATGTATATTATCATTTCAACGGAGAAGATATCGTTTTTGTATTTGTTGTGTTTGCAGTGTTCATTCCTGGAGGCTTCTAATCTGTTCCGATGCCGAAGTCTAAGCGTAACCAAGTCGTTAATCTCACTAAGGTGTCGAAACGGCAGACCAGGGAAAAGAAGGATAGAGCCATTGAGGAGATACGTAAATGCCTCGAGAAATTTAGGTAGCACTTTTCTGTACCTTTCCAGTGTGAGAAAGTATGCACATGGTCAATGGTGTGCTGCAAAAAATGTTCGCCCTCCTCAGCTGAGCTCAATATTTTACTCACTAGTCATAGAAGTTTATATACGAATTGGGAGAATATATACCCTAAATGGACAGAAACTAAAAAGGAATTTTAAAAATTTTCTCCCAGAATTTCCATATTGTCACCAACACATATGTTTGACCATGCGCCAATTTTACCACTCTGAGTAGTTAAATTCTGGGAGGAAATCTTGGGGAATTTTCGTTGGTTTCTGTATATTTTTGGACCCGAGTTCGAATATTAACTCCATATAAACTCAGCTGAGGAAAGCGAACATATATTTCTCTAACGCTACTCTATTTTCTATTGAGTGATGATTCACATCATCCTGTATATCCTCGCGAGGTTGGTCTTCATAAGTGTTACATATCGATTCTGGCGTGGAAAAATATGCACATGGTAAAGGGTATGAGTGTCGGCGAGAAATTTAAAACTTTGGGGGAAATTTTGGAAAATTCTTGTTGGTTTCTGTACACTTCTACCCAAACTCGCATAAGTAGTTTCGGAAACTCCTAAGCTCAGCTGAGGGAAGCGAACATATATTCTGCCAGCACTGAAATGTTCCCCAACCCGAAACTATCGCTACTGTCTTGATGTCAATCGATGTTGCTTTATTCTCCTAAGTCAACTAGTAGCGGCTCGTCAGGGCTTCATTGTGATTTTTCATAGGGTGAATGTTCAGAGTAGTGTTGCAAATATTTGTTCGCTTTTTTTTCAGCTGAGCTCAGGAATTTAATCAATTCGTATACAGAAATCAACGAGAATTTTTTCATATTTTTTTCATATTGTCATCACCAACACATGTAGTTGACCATGTGCATATATATTCCTACACTGATTCAGCGTGTTGGTGATGGACAATCCCGAGGCATGTCGTCTTCGTGTGTAGATACGCCTACGTCCTGAAGTTGGAAAACCAACGTAACAAATTGTTAAAGGGCCTCAGGAATGATCTAAAGCCAGGTATTACTTACTTGCCATACACATGTCATGCTTGGTATTAGGTCGATTATTCTGTGGGAGAAATAAAGTCATGCAAGTAGCATTGGGCGTAGACCCCGAGTCGGAGTGTCAAGAAGGTGAATCGTAATTTACAATGGACATAGTTTGCAACCGTGTGCTCTGAATTCAACAACGCGTGGTATGATACGGTAATAGGCGCAATCCAGCGTAATTTTCACCTAAACTTTTGATCAAGATTTGTATTATTGTATATATGATCTTGTCGTTGTCCTCAGTCTCGGTGTGCGTAGGCGTTCCAGTCATCTTAACACAAGTAGATTAAATAGAAGAAATAAGTATCCACAACTATCTTACAATAGTTCTCATATCCTCAATGACTAGCACAGCTTGTGCGATGTCTTAGCTAAGATACCAATGGAAGTAAAATAACAGAAATGGGGACACAAACATAGATATTAGATCAGATTACTGCAATAACAACACGGTCATTTCCTTGGGTAACAACAGATCTATATGGTTTGAATGCAGTAGTCCATCTGGCCCATACGGGGTATGTCAGGTTTCAAATCGAATAACAACTGCGAAGGTGAAATTGTCGAATAATATTCCAAGGTGATTGGTGTGAATTCACATACTTTAGGTATCCATGCTTTATCCGAGCGCATCAGTGGTGAAGTCGGCTTGTTGCTCACTGATATGACGGCCGACCAGTTGATGGTAGTTATATGCATACCAAAACTTCTCGGTATCGTCAATTTTAGGACATCTTGGCAAACCATGAGCAATCTAACTTTGCAAGAAGCGGATGTATTTCTACAGGGGATATCACTCTGGTGAAAAGTGTTCGAGAGATGGTATGAGAAAATTGATTTATTTTTTAGGAAGCTGGTGATGATGCATTGTCGAGATTTCCTCACAGTCAAGAGCCTTTTCTACGGAAACTTGGCTTGCCGACTCTCCTCGTCAACGGCAAGATCCGGTTGATGGGTGATTACGAAGTGTGTAAAACTGGCAAAGTAGGCAAGGGGTCATCCCGTCATGACGAAGGTCGTGGGTTCAATCCTTGCATGTTCTTCTCTAGGCATTGACCCCAGAGCAGTGTCAACTCGTGAAGCTCCTCGGTATTCCTATGGCGGTTTTCCGTGTATCAATTGCCGCACAGTGGTCTAAGGAGAACAGCAAATGTACTACAACTTAGAAATTCCTCATTCTAGAGGAATATACAGTGTGTGTCAATTTGATATGCAAACGTGGAAAATGTGAGTTTTTTCTCGAGATTAGTGGTAATCGTTTTGATAGTTCACAGATACAATGCAAATATTGCTACCCGATTATCATTGATTTCAAGAAAAAAACGCACATGTATCGCATTTGCATATCAAATTGGCACGCACTGTATGTTCGCTTTCTTCAGCTGAGCTCAGGAGTTTCCTTGTT